GGGCTGCCCTCTGCTCTGTAAGCCGGCATTCTGAGGAGGGGTCCTTCCTATGCCAGGGGCTGCCCTCTGCTCTGTAAGCCGGCATTCTGAGGAGGGGTCCTTCCTATGCCAGGGGCTGCCCTCTGCTCTGTAAGCCGGCATTCTGAGGAGGGGTCCTTCCTCTGCCAGGAGCTGCCCTTTTTCCTCTCCTGACTAATTTGGCACCGGTCTTATAACTTGCACGGAGAGGGATCCACCCAGGTGCTGCCCAGGGTGGTCTTAGCGAAGGCTGGGCGAGGCATGTATCCTGCATGCCAGCTGAAAGATAATTACACAGAAAATAAGAGCTAACTATCCAACCCAATTTCCCGACTCTAATAAGGCATAAATCCTCCAGCAGCACTGAGGACCTTTTACTTGTCTGTTAAATCTCCGTTTTTTCTGCTAGAAAGATCCCCACCACCGTTAGAGTTTCAGCAATTCCAAGCTTTTTCATTTTTTCACGTAGGAGTTTAAAGAAAACAAAATGTATTTTCTTTAGAAAATATGACCTTTGATTCAACTTAACCTGCATGCACCAGTAGCATAATGCAAGGTTTTGTAACAGCCAAACTGTTAAGACATATTTGACAACAAATAAACAAGGGAATGCACACACATTTGCTGCTTGCATGCAAACTAGTGCAGCCGCCCGACTTAATGAGTCTCGGTATCTTAGGGTCCAGCAGCTCTGCCCTTACGAAGTTATGCGTTTATAAAAGCCACTGGACCTCAAGTCAGGAGGGAGGGAGCTATGAGGGAAGGGAGCAGACATGGAATATTTACTCATGTGATCGTGTTAAGCGTCTCACACTGGGGATCCCCTTCTAAGATGAGAGGCAGCAAGATCTGCGTTAAGTGCAAACAGCAAACCACGTCTCCTTAAGCGATACGAAGGCCAAACCACGTCCAGTTTGATTTTTGAAGGTGGTGGTTTTCAGGTCAGACACTGTGCTGCATTTCATGTGGTGAATTATGACCGGGCTCCTGCAGTCATTATGACGGGGCCCCTGGGGTCATTATGACGGGGCCCCTGGGGTCATTATGACGGGGCCCCTGGGATCATTATGACGGGGCCCCTGGGGTCATTATGACGGGGCCCCTGGGATCATTATGACGGGGCCCCTGGGATCATTATGACCGGGCCTCTGGGGTCATTATGACGGGGCCCCTGGGGTCATTATGACGGGGCCCCTGGGTTCATTATGACGGGGCCTCTGGGGTCATTGTGCCACAGCTGAGGTTTGCATGTTGGTCGGAAGCCGCTGGCTGCAGGAGGATCACATTTCATTCAGCTCCTTTTCAGACGTTTGCATGTGCTGTTGTGTGAAAAGCCATTGAAGAGTCATAAGTTCCAGACCTTAATTAGGGTGTAAGTCTTCTTTCACCTCATCTTGAATGTGTGCTGCCTCGTGTGTGATTTTTTTCTCTAAAACCGGTAAAAAAAACTGTGTGTATATTATTGCTGCTCTGGCTCTTTTTGTGTATCTGCAAGCATACTTTTTGTTTGTATTTAAACCACATTTTTCCTTTGTAGAGCAACGTGACTAGCCATGAGGAAAGCTGTCGATTTTCTGGTATTCTTCGCAGTCCATTGGGATATATAGTATCGGCAGTCTGGCAGGATTACATTTAACAGCCTACCTGCAAGGACATCGCCTCAGGGTTGCCACCCCCCCCCACTGAAGGGTCCGTGCGCATGCAGCCACGGCTGGAAAGTGCTCCAGTACAGCTCCCCCACTCTCAAAAACTCTGACTACACATTGTCCCCCATGGTTTCTGCCCTAATCCAGAGCCTGCAATCCTATGTTGTAAAGATTTGCAAAGGAATGTTTACAAAGAAATTGGCAGATCCAGTGAAGAAGAGAGAAAGTACAGATTCCAAAAAAGAGCCAAAATTAGCCACTGACTCTCAAGCACGGAATCCAAACTTTTCTACAGCACTAAAAAGCAAAGTCAAAAAAATCTCCAAATGCTCCTCCGTGCGAAATATATCCCTGACAGGCAAGAGGGGTAAAAATATCCCTGCGTCACTATCGCCAACATTTAGTTACCGTGTAGCAATAGCTAACGGACTCCCAACAAACCGATATTCGCTTAACAATGAAAATTTTCCTCAAGACATTTTATCAATTGACAGCAGTTTCTCAGACTCTTTGAGTGACGTAAAACTACGGCGCAGATCTGATGAGCACCAAGCTTTTATGATGCCGGTAAGGAGGAACAGGAAGAGCTTGATCAGTCTGGCTCCCTCCGACGGGAGCTCAGAGGGAGAGCGGGTGGAACGAACCAACCTGCAGACGCTTCGACTAGGAGCCTTACGCAAACTAAGGAAATGGAAAAAGAGCCAAGAATGTGTTTCTTCTGATGGAGAAGTGAGCAACTGGAGAAAGTCACTAGGCCTTCGGAGTAAGTCCCTGGATAGAGCTGCAAGAAATCAGAAGGCGGCCTCCTTTGAGCCTGCATCCAGCTCGACAGGATGCATCAGCCAGACCCAGGACGTCATGGAGATGATCTTCAAGGAACTCCAGGGAATCAGTCAGATTGAGACAGAGCTCTCCGAGCTAAGAGGGCACGTTAACGCCTTGAAGAGCTCCATTGATGAGATCTCCAGCAGCGTGGAAGTGGTGCAGACTGAGATCGAACAGTTGCGTTCTGGCTTTGTACAGTCCAGACGGGAGACGCGGGACATACATGACTACGTCAAACAAGTTGGCCAAGATAACAAAGCCACTTTGAAATTTGTCAATGTGCCGGAGGATAAATTGGAAAAAACAGAGAATCTCATTTACCAAATTTTAAAAGAGAAAATGGGCTTCAGTGACCCACAAAAGGTGATAAGGATTGACCTGGCCTATCGTCTGGGGCATCAAAGAGACTGCCCCAGTGCCAAGCCCCGACCAGTTATTGTCATATTCTCTACACCTCAAGACAGGGATTTAGTTTTAAAAAAATGCTACAAGCTGAAAGGCACGGGCATCTCGATCTCCACCGACAGCCTTGCCCGGGAGACGAAAGAGAGGAAAGACAAAGGCATGAGCACCTCACAGACATATGAAAGCATGGACATCAGGGTCTCCACTAAGGAGAAAACCGACCTTGAGGACTGGGACTCCATGGACAGTGATAGGGAGTTTGAGGCTGACCTAAACCGCAACAAATACTCAGTTGTTTCTAAATCATCACATAAGAGTAAATCTGATAAGAAGAAATCCCACCATTCCCACAGCAAATCGGGAGATAGGACAGCACGTTCGGGCCCGGCACCATACGTCGACGACACCTATCAATCAGCTATGTATGAAGATTCGGACAAACAAACAAAACCGTACTACTCTGACCTGACTCCGATTTGGCTTTCTCAGAGCGAGTACTCAACCCCAAAACTAAGTCGCTCTGAATCAGACTGTTCAAAGATGTGCCAGTCATACTCAGAAGATTTTTCTGAGAATCAGTACTACAGCAGGACCAATGGCTGTTCCCTTCTGTCCTCCTCAGACCAGGAGCTTTGGCAAAGGAAGCAGGAGGACATGGCATCCTCTTGGTATGCAAGCCCACCCAATCCAACCCTGAGTCAGGAAAACCAGGCGTACACAGAACCAAACGGGGCAGAGACCACAGAAACAGTAGACAGTGGCGTGAGCAATGGGGTTGTGTGTGTCTCAGCTGACAGAAGCCACTTCAGTGGCTCCCAGCTGTCACTGCAGGGCGATCTGTCACCTTGGAAGGAATGGCCACATCTGGAACAAGGGGCAGATTCTGGGTTGGATGCCTCAACTGAACAGAACATAGTATCAGAGGTCAGCAGCCCATTTGACCTGAGAGTCAGTGCAGGATTCCCCAAAAACATTACTAAGTGCCAAGAAGTGGATTTACAGTTTGAAGGAGAAAATTACATGACTCTGGACAGTACCCCTTCTACGTGTCCTGGCCTCGAGAGTGAAACTGCGAGTCAGCCAGACGCTCAGAGTGATCCGTTTCCTGATATTGACACAAATAACTTCTACATAAATCCCAGCAAGTCCGCAACTATGTATCACAGCCAGAATGAGATCAGACAAGAAAAAACTGAGCAAGTTCCGAGATCATGGCACAGCCGCCTCAGCATAGACCTCACCGATAAAACGTTCAGCTTCCCAACATTTGGATCAACTCTCCAACGGGCTAAATCAGCACTGGAGGTCGTGTGGACCAAGAGCTCACAGAGTGTGAATGCCCCTGAGGAGCCAAGTAACTCCACAATCATGGGGCGGCTCAGGTCATTGTCCCAATCCACGGCGAACGGCTCCAGCACAACCATAAACTCAGATGTGTACACAGAGCCGTTGTACTACAAGGCAGATGAGGAGGACTGTGGTGAGCAGGCCGTGGACAATGAGACGCATTATGTGGAAGTGATGGAGCAGGTGCTGGCCAACCTGGAAAACAGGACAAATGCAAATGAGCCAGAAGAGGAGTATAAAGACTACAGCATTTCTCAGGAGGGAAACTATGTTCTGGAATATGACTGCAGCTTAGATGAGCAGTATGATGATGAATATAGTGAGGGCTGTGATGATAACCCAGCCACAGAAGACAACACTGAATCTGAGGCGATGGCTTACATTGAGGAACCAGAGCAGGCTGAGGACACGGCAGCACAAGAGGATGAAAACCAAAACCTGCCGGCAGCAGCCATGGTCGAGACCCCTCCGAAAAAGAGGTTACGACCAACGTTCAAGGAAGCGGCCCTGAGAGCTTACAGGAAGCAAATGACAGAGCTGGAGGAGCAGATTCTGGCAGGAGGTAAAAGCTGGTCGCATACTGGTCACATACTGGTCACATACTGGTCACATATTGGTCACATGCTGCTCACATACAGGTTTTACTATAAATCTGTTCACTAATGTTTCCGAATATGTTCAGAAACAATCACAAAAATCATGCTAAAACAGTTTGTAGACTGAGCTTAAAATGTTGCAATGCAAGCAGATTTTGAACATTTTATTTGAAGTGAGTTTTTAAGACAAACATGGTGGCGAAAATTCATATTCATATTCATGTTTCATTTTAAATGCATCATACTTCAGAGGGAATATTTTTTTGCCTGAGATGAAACCCCAGATTCTGTAGAGTGGAAGCTTCCATTGCAGGCTAACATCAAACAAACAAACAGTTTGTCTAATGTTTTTTTTTCATGTGCTCCATCTGATTCGAGGTGACAAGCAGGATGACTTGAGGCTGTTGGTATCTGACATGTGTGAGCTTTTCACCCTCTACCCCTGGAATGTATGTTTACATATTCAGGTCCTGCTCTTAGCCTGAGAGTCCTCGCCCTCTATTAATCTGATTGGATGCTGCAAAGGTTCCAAGTGACTGTTCTCTCCTCCTAGCGTGGGCATCGCTGATTGCTACACCATGATGAAGTGTCGTAGTGCAACCGGTGATTCAGATATTGTGGCGATGCATCATTTAACTGGATGCTGAGGTCATCACCGCAGGTGGCCAGACTTCTGGAAGCACCAAGTAAATTATATGGCTTGGCCAGTATCTTAGCGCCCTTCTCACTTCCACTGCGGTGCTGTTGAGGTAGCTTTAAGACGTTTTTCGTGTGAGTGTGTCGGAGTCCGTGTGTGTGTTTGATCACCTACAAAGGCCCAGCCACACAATATCCTAAGTGCAATTTCACCCTCTATTCCTGGATTATCACGTTTGCTGGCATTTTCGTTGTGGCTCTTTTTCACCAAAGTTGAAATCATGCTCACAAAAATCACACATAATGTCGCTGAAGTGTTTTATTGGACCCGACTATTCCCCTTTATATATTTATCCTGGTTTCACTATGCTGACAGTGTGATAAACCATCAGAACAGAGCAATGAGATGACGACACCCTTTGTTTGCTGCAATTATGCCTAGTTTCCCCCTCTGATTCCGGCACAGTCTGCACAGGCTGATCCCTTGACATGAACAATTCATGTACTGAGAAACTCAGGGCCGCAGATGTTGGGGGCATGGCCTGTTTGAATACAGAGAGGCATCGAGCCCCGGGTCATTGGGTTCTGAGGCCCCCCGGCTACCCCACTTGTGGAAACACAAGTGCCCCAGATTGTAGCTCTGGTTTAATATTTAAAAATAGAATCTTGAATGATTTGGGTGATGAGCACGATTTGTGTGAAGAACCTCTTATTGAATCAGATCTGGGGGTGCAAAGGTTCCATGTGTTTTGCACTCATGGAGAACTATATCTATGTGTCTTCCTGGGGGGGGAGGGTTTGCTTTGAAACTCCACACACGGAGAGCTAGCCCAAAGGCACTCTTCCCCCTGTAATTTAATCCAGCTCAATTTGTCAAGTTCAGTCCGTTCTTCAGGGTTTCCCTTATTTCCTGGTCCTTCTCTCTGGTCCTCAGGGAGCCGCTGCGATTTGGCATATTCCTGTTCCAGTGACGCACGTCAGAATTTAGGCTCTTAGAGATTAGAATGCTGTTTGTTAATAGGTCAGTGGTACATGACCCCTCTGTGGTTGGGAAAGTGACACCACAGAAAGATGTACATTATTTTGTAATACAATGAAATTTCACAGTGTTTTATGGTATATCAGGTGTTCTCAGACTAAACGGAGCAGAGTCCTCTGGCACCTGCTGAGCTACATATTGGTCACATTAATTTTCCCGACAGACGTCTGTAGATCTTAGTCTTTATTGCTGCTGATTTTTTCCCCCCATGATACTTGTTGAGTGTAGCTTTGCATCATGTTACCAGTCAATTATTGTGCTCTGTATTTCTCATGAGCATACAGATTCTGGGATTTCCAACATATAATCACACAGCACAGGACTGCTGTCAACTGCTATTGAAGTTGGAATGCAGATGAAGGGGAGACCTTGCATTTTATATGGCATACTTAAATTGAAATGTATTTATTTACAACCCGCCTGGCAAACATAACAAAATGCTGCAGCGAAGCTGTAATCACTGTCGCTGACCTCTCTCCTGCTTTTTGTCTTTCAGACCACGCTGCTTTGGATGCACAGGTTTCTCACCGAGCTCTTCTCCTTCCTGTCCTGTCTGCTCCCGTCTGTGTGCCGTTTCATTTCAGTCCTGTCTGGTGTAGTTTGCTGATGTTATCCAAAGCGTCTTCGCACTGTGCATTAAAAAACTGGTGCTTGTGCGCAGTATCAGAAAATTCAAGTTGCTTGTATGAAAATTGCTGCTGTTCTATAAAGGTCAAAATCTCCAAGACCATCCCTAGTTTCTATGAATGAAAATTTCTAAACGGTATATAATAGAAATGCCTATTTGTTCTGTTATTTGATGAATATTTTCCTGTCGTATAAAGCACCCAATTGCTCTTCTTGCCTTTGTTATACATTATCCTGTGTAGAGATCTGTTGTATGTGCATGCTAGCTACAGCAGCATCTCCATGGGAAATTGGTGTCAGGGATGCTAATATGACTTGCTTGTCCGGCTTCTCTGAGGTAACGCTTCACTCTGTGTTGTTCTAAGGCTCGCATTGCCAGCCGCCATGTTCTGGAAACAACAGTAAGCCTTGGGCTTCAGTGTGCTGGAGGGTGAGTAGAAAATACCGCAGACTGGTTTCATTCTCTGTGTAGCTTTTTACTGTAATGAATAATACTGTTCTATCGCAAGTTAAAACGGGACAGGGAATTTCAGCATACATATTGACTAGATTTCAGACTTTTTTTTTAGATTTTTGACTAGATAAAACACAATGCTTCATTAAGTCTAATAACAGCAGTCAATAGTTATTCTGTTTTTCTCAAAAGCATTATAAGTTATTGTGGAACTGTATTCTCATTAAAAGTCCAAAATATGAGGTGTAACCATCTATACAGTATTTTCCTAGTAATGTTCTACCAGTAGCAACAGGTTAATAATTAGATAATATTAATAAAATCTCACAGATATGAAAAACAAATATTTGGGTAGCATGCATACATAAGTGTGTCACGTGTTGGACTGGGTTATTGACAATGGTTCACAATAGAAAAGGAGCAGGGCTTTGGGGCTTATTAAACCCAAAAGCCAGTTAATCTCATAAACAGTTTCATGCTGTCCTGCTCTGAGAGACTGTGAGGGATGTATGGGAGACCTCAGCAAAGGGACATCTGTGGGGTGCCAAGGGACATGCCGGAGGGATTAGGGACACAGGAACGTCCTGCGTCCAGGCAGTGCCAGGACAAGTGGCTTAGAAATGAGTGCAGCCTCAGTGACAAAGAGAGAAGCCAAAAGTACAGTGCAGACACCCTACTTTGTGCTGGACGGCAAGCGCCTCGATCTGCTGAGACTGATGGAGCCCAGGACAAGGTTAAGTCACCAGAAAAAGCGTGTGGAGATCAGGAAGCCCAGCACACTGTCAGGTAGCAAATGCATATATACATTTCAGAGCAGTGCTTGTAGGCTGTGGTGTGGGGTTTTTTCAGTTTCATCCTTTTTGGCTTTAATTCAATTTTTATATCAATCACTGTGGAGGTGAACTGGAGTTCTCTGAAGGTCCAGCTGTATGTCGATAGTGTTTAGCATAGAGTAAAAACAGACATCTAGAAAGGTAGCTCATTTGGGAAGGAGGGAATGTGGTAGATCTACGTCTTTTATGATCCACTTAATGCCAGGCTTGGTAAATACCGCCCCCTCCATCACCACCACTATGCTTCTCTTCATTTGCATGCACCATCTTCAGTCGGGCAACTGTAACTGAAGCCCTAGAGAAAATGACCAATGGCAAAACTCTTGATTCGTATTCAGAAACGATGCAGGATGTACTCGGCCTGCTGGGGCAAGAACAGGCCCCCACCCCCAAGTCTACACAGGTGTCTGGAGCGCTCGATCTGCGTGGGCCCGTATGCTCCATGGCTTTCCAAATGGAATATCTGGAAGCATCCTACTCAGGAACTTCCAACACTTTTCCTTTTCTTGTGCCATTTTTTCTCCCACAAAAATGGCAATTCCTCCAGCTGTAATTAATTTCTTCTCATTTGGCTGTAACACGTGGTCTTCGAGCAGGACTATAACGTTAAATGATACGCGACACTAGCTATCTGACTAGCTATTTGTTGCTTGTATGATATCGTGTGACATTAATATACTATGAAGCTGCCTCTGTCACTAGGTCAGGGAGCATCCTTTACGGCATCGACAGTATGCCAGATCTGCGCCGGAAGAGGACGGTGCCCATTGTCCGAGACCTGGTAAGTTACCTGTTTCTGCTGGATACTCGTCATTTTCTCCGATTTCCCTTGATATACTGCACCACTGACATGTAGTCCGTGGCGTCTCCCTGTCTCTGAGTCAGGCTCAGCCACAATTCACCTTCACTCACAATCATCCGAAAGTAGCCACCACATTGGATTATACCATTATTTTTAGTGATTTGAAGCACCCTCTATATTATATCACAAAGGTTCATGTTCTAGCTGTGTAAATTTCTGTGTTGTTTGTTTATGCTACATTGTATCATTTTTGTAACTCTGCTACATTGCTAATAGCTAATTCAAAAACTGCTAAGAATTTTGGCACCGAGCATAATTTTGTGTATGAAGTTATAATAGTGTCATATTTCACCTTATTCACTTACTATACAAACATTTCATGCCATATTTCATTGGCCTATTTATAACTTACAGTTCATTAGGGTCCTATTGCTATATGGTCATATAAATATTGGCTATTTTAACTATAAAAATTTCCATATTGATGCCATACATTTGATGCTTGATAAGTGGATTTTGAAAACTATAAGGAAAAGTTGACGTTGTATTTGTGCATATCTCTCATGAAATTAAAAAACCGACGTTACCTTGGTAAGTACGGGTTATATTTCTGTTTTCGGATCGTTGCATAGATATTTACCATTCCAACATGGTCCCATAACCACTATGGGCGATATTTTTCAGGGAGTTGTCAGATTTCTCTCCAGACATATATCCTGTGAGACGGGCGGCTCGAACAAAACATACGAAATGTTGACAACTCTACCCAAAAATATATGTTGAGGATTTCATTGAAATCTACCAAGGCTTTTGGCTCATGTAAAACATTGCGAGAAAAAGCCTTTGACACCCCCGATGACGTCTTTAAATGCCAGGGTTGAGTCACACCCTCCACAGCTCATTCTCCCCCCGTGTGAATGGAACACATCCAGCTGCCTGACCGCTTCAGCACTGGGGCTCGGCTCCGCTGGTGATCCAGGGGAGAGGCCCTCATACGGGGGGGCAAGGCTACGTTCACACACAGCCACTGCGGTGTCCTCTTCTGCTTCGGGGGCCATTCAGTGCTCTGCCGGTGACATCTGGAGGGAGCAGCAGATGGGCTCCTGTTCTGATCTCGCGTTGACAATTGTATCTATTTATTTGGCATCCAGAGTGACACGCAAATGAGGCAGATAATAATGAAGACACAGCTCGTAGCTGCATAGCACACCTTTCTGGCTTCTTGGCTGTTGATAGGTGAAAGTATGTGTACCGCCTGTGTTCGCCATTACAAAGCAAAAGCACAGCTGAACAGAAATTTTATCGTTGCTGTTGCTGTTGGGTTAACCTGGGTGAATAATATTTCATAAGCGATGGTTTTACCGCAATGTGTGTTTACGTAGCCTGCCTGACACTGAACGTCCACGTGGAGGTGGGCGTTTTGCACAGTATGACCTTTGACCCCAGATGACCCCTGACTTCAGCCTGGGCCCTGTAATGCCTGCAGCAAGCTCAGCTCCTTGAGTGCATGTTCACTGACCTCACATATATACATGAAGTTCACACACAGTTCACATGTAAACACCCCCAGTGCCCTCTTCGCCCCCCCCCCCCCCCACCCACATACATCTCCTTGCTTTAAATGCTCATAGCTTGCCGTGGTTCTTTACCATAGTGTGGCTGAGGGGAGTATGGATGGTAAAGACCAGCCTCGCACTGTCAGCCGTCAATGCCTGCTTCTCCTCTTTGTGGTACGAACCCCAGCCAGGGGTCTCTCTCTTGCCACCTAGAGACAGAGCAAAATTGACCCTGTGACACTAAATGGTGGATCAGCAACATGTCGCTGGCACCCTACTAACAAATCAGTGTTTGTCTCTCCTTGTCTTGTTACCATTAAGCTGTGCAGTATAGACATATTCTACAGTATTACTCCCATGGTTATTAAGCTTATGATTCGGATAGTTAATGCGTGCCTCAGTGGTACCATGCCCAAGGTGAATTCTGGGAAACAAACAGGAGGTATTTTGACGGATTTCGTTCTTTAAATAATCATTAATTTCGCGCATGGCAGCAAAACGCCCATGTGCTCCACACTGAAGCCCCAAGTCTGTGCTGGACAGTTGCCGCCTGTGTATTAAGGTCCACTCGCAATCGCTGCCCACACTGATCTGTTTATTGCTCTTCTTTCCCATCATGCATCTGGGTGTCTCAGGCCTTGGTAAGTGCCGTTTCCGTCACCAAGCTCACACTGCACTGATTGTGGTTTTGCCCATGCAAAGACGGAACCGCGGCCCAGACTGTGAGTCCAAGTGGTGTCCAAGGCAACCTTCACTGGTGGTGTCTTTCCATGGTGGGGGGGTGGTGTTTTGCTAAATCTGCGCCCCTTTAGTAGTATATAATTGCTTATATTACCCTTGCCAGGATCCACCACCCACGCTTCTTTCCAGACCAGTGTTTCCCAACCCGGTCCTCGGGTTTCTGCAGACAGTCCACATTTCTGCTCCTTTCCAAAAACATAGACTGTCTGGGAGGGAGCAAAAACATGGATCTGTGAGTCCCCGAGGACTGGGTTGCCTCTTTCTTTGAAAGGAGCTCAGAGGGATTGTTTTCTTTCAGTTTTTTGGTTATTTGTGCTAAATTTTCAGTGCAATAATATTCCATTTCGATTTGACAGCTCATTTAACAGATGGATTAGCACTTAAACTCAATCGTTCCATATTTAAAGAGAGAATAATCATATGCATATGAACTGATACCCACACAGAAAGCATCTTATCACTGCATTAAAAATAAATACCCAATATTCAACATGAGGCATTACTTAACAAATGGTCTAGTTATGTACTTCTATGTGGTGTCATCAACATGGGTCTTAACCTAAATCTTACATTCCAAAATTATTTATATGAATCTATTTGCATTGTGTTTAATGGTTACATCATGTCCTGCACATCGCTGTGACATCACTAAATCTGTATTCCATGCTTTTTATTCTGCCATTAAACTCTTGGAGACCCTGTTTATGGTCAGACAATAAAAATGCCAGGGGTCTGTAAAAGGGCTGCACTGCGCCAGCTCAGGATTCTCCTCTGGCTGTGAACTGTGTGAACTGTGTGAACTGTGTGAACTGTGTGAACTGTGTGA